CACTCCCCAACCCAAGAAAGTAGCAGGTCCTTTCATGCATTCTTGCTTCAGATGGCTTATGAGTGACTGTCTATATCTACCTAGCTTTGCTTTCCTAAAACCTGAACTCTGAGAAATTATGCTAGAATGGTAGAGAGATAGTAAGAGGGGAGGTGTGGGCAGAGAAAGAGAAATAAAGGAGCAAAGATTCCACATGCCTGGGAAGGAGCTGGGCATTAGCTTTCTGAAATAAGGAAATACAACATTTGGCATCCCAATTGCTTCTGGGAAGTGGCTGAAACTCTAGGAATAAACTTGGTGGCAGCTGTGGAAGAGACAGGACTCAAAGTACTAGGGATATCAGGATAAGGCTCTAACAAAAATCCCCATTCCCTTTATGTGGCCCACTAACTATAGAGTTTTTAAAGGATGAACACTGAGAGATCAAATACATGGGCTAGGACAAGGGACCTCCCCTGAATGAAGGCTCCACAAAGGTGGGATCTCTGGTATGTTAGCACTACTTAAGCCTCATGGATTTCTGTATAAGCCAAAGGGGGGAAATCTCCAATAATGAACTTAACTTCAATTGCCTACCAACTCAATACTATAAACAGTTTGAGAATCACATCAAACTGGGTTTGAACTTTCCTCCACTTATCAGTAACAATATGTCCTTGGGGAAATAACCACCTCTAAGATTAAAGTTCTTCATTGATAAAATGGTGATGATATTCATAGGACTGGTATAAGACTTTAGTTGGATACACAATAAATATGTAAAATGCTTACTACAATATTTTAGTCATACTAGTCAATCAGTAAATGGCCGCTATTTTAATATCATTCAATAATTACTTATTGAGATTTGATTATGTTATTTGAGATCCTTATGTTAGGTACCGTGTACATAATGGCAAAAATAGATAAATAAATAAAACAGACTTATTCTAAAATAGCTTACAACTTCATAAACTTAAAAACCATCAAGAACCAATCTAAATGAGGAAAATCTCCACCTTTCCCCCCACCCCCCAAGAGCTCAGACAATTGGATCCTAAACCAGAGAATACCTTAGTGATCATACTGAGTGATACTCTTTTTTTAATTATTCTTTTTAAGTTTATTTATTTTTGAGAGAGAGAGAGAGACTGAGAGAGAGAGAGACACAGAGACAGATCACGAGTTGGGGAGGGGCAGGGAGAGAGGGAGACACAGAATCCGAAGCAGGCTCCAGGCTCTGAGCTGTCAGCACAGAGCTCAATGCAGGGCTCGAACTCACAGACTGTGAAATCATGACCTGAGCCGAAGTCACACGCTTAACCGACTAACACACCCAGGCACCCCATGAACAATACCCTTTTTGACCAAACTCAGTTAAGACACTAAAGTAACAAGACACATTTTCTAGAATGGCTCATTATATGAATTTTTTAAGATTTTTTTTTTAGCAACTCCAGCATCATTAAAATAAAAAAGATTCCCAAGATGAATACTTTAACAATAGTCACTGAAATGTTTATACTCTTGTGTATTTGATTAAAAAGAGGTCTCAGTAATTCATAACCTTCTGACTAGTGGCTTGTGAGTAATTACAACAATGGAAGTTAAGTCAGTAATGTTCATGGAACGCCATGTGCATATAGGTCTACTTCATTGCTTTGTCTATACATTGATATAGATCCCCAACCACTAAAGAATAATGGGATCAAGATCCCAGCACTCCATGAAAAAATACTTTAATTTTTTGATCATCCCCTCTATGCAATCTAAATCTATTAAAAGTTGGTTTGACGGAGCTTCTGATGGCCAAATCCGGGACAATTTGAGCACTGAACCAATCAGTGATAGTAATTTGTTATAACCCACTGAATAAAACAGGAATCCATGAGTTCACATTGATGTAAATAATTTAAAAAATAGGACCACAAAAAAGCTCTTTCTTATACTAATATGCTAACAAGTAAATGTAGAAGGAATGACAGAGTTAGAAAATTGCTATTTAACAAATATAAAAATTGATTCTGACCAAAGCCATCATTGAATGCTAAACCTAGTATGAAAAAGCTTGATGAGGGGCGCCTGGCTGGCTCAGTCGGTTAAGCGTCCGACTTCACTTCAGGTCACCATCTCGCGGTCCGTGAGTTCGGGCCCCGCATCGGGCTCTGGGCTGATGGCTCAGAGCCTGGAGCCTGCTTCCGATTCTGTGTCTCCCTCTCTCTCTGCCCCTCCCCCGTTCATGCTCTGTCTCTCTCTGTCTCAAAAATAAATAAACTTAAAAAAAAAAAAAAAAGCTTGATGAGAAAGAAGATATACATACACAGTCTTGAAATATCCCCTCATAAGATATAATAAGTTTACAGTGTGAGTGACTCCACTTTAAATTATCAAAGTTAGCATCAGCTATCATGGGATAAACTGACATCATGTTCCTAATATTATGTATTGAGATGTATTCCTGATAAAAATGCATAACTTCAATCTTAAAAATAAAGACACATAATTAAACCAAAATTGAGAAGTAACTTAAAAAAAATAGTTTATACTCTTCAGAAACATCAAAGTCATCAAAGGCAACCACAGGCTAAGCACATTAAACGTGACTAAAGAAACACAACAATTAAGCACAATGTAACATCTTGGAAAAGATGTTTTTACTATAAATGACATTACTGGCACAATCAATGAAATATGAATACAGTGTATAGATTAGCTAACAGCATTATACAGATAATGGTCTCCTGATTCTGATCATTTTAGTATGGTTATGGTAGAAAACACCACTCAAAAACATAGAGGTAAAGGGCATCACTTCTGCAACTCTGTCTCAAGTGATTCAAAATAACTAATGACATGTATTCATAAAGAAAAAAGACAAAAAAAAAAAAAAAACATGTAGGGAGAGAGACAAGAGAGAAAACGATAAAGCAAAGAATATATGGGAACTCTTTGGACTATTTTTGCAACTTTTCTGTAAATCTGAAATTATTTCAAAATTTAAAAATTACTTTTTTGGGGCACTTGAGTGGCTCAGTTGAGTATCCGACTTTGGCTCAGGTCGTGATCTCACAGTTCATGGGCTAGAGCCCCACATTGGGCTCACTGCTGTCAGCCTGTCAGCACAGAGCCCAATTCAAATCCTCTGCCCCCCTCTCTCTGCCCCTCCCTTGCTTTCATTCTCCCAAAAATAAATAAATATTTATAAAAAATTACTTTTTAAGCAGTCTGAAATGTCAATGATGTAAGAGATTAGCGTTCCAGACAGGAAACCCATGCTAACAACTGATGAGATTAATGAGAAGCCTTTTACATTTGTTATAGACAGGAGAGTGGGCTTATTTAATCAGTTGAGCTAAAAGAATAAATTTATCTTTTGGTGGATTTTGAGAACTTAAGTGACATATATTAATTAACTAGGAACATACAGTATTAGTAGAAGTATAGGGACTTAACTTGAGAAAATCATGTTATTTAGAGAAGGTATTATGAAATACGTGCAGGTGTAGGGACTGAAGTGACTATCTTCTAGGTTTAGCTCATAAATGTGTTGAATAAACATTTTCACCTTATTCTTATCTTTTCCTATTTATATCTTTTAATTTCACTTAGAGGCAACTAATCGAGAATAAATGAAAAACAAACAATCACAATTGAAAACAGTAACAAACCAAAAAGTAAATGAAGTAGGGTACTGGTTAAAAACTTTCTCATTTTTATCAAAAAAATATTTTTTTCTGGGGCGCCTGGGTGGCTCAGTTGGTTAAGCCTCCGACTTCAGCTCAGGTCAGGATCTCACAGTGAGTGAGTTCAAACTGCACTGGGCTCCGTGCTGACAGCTCAGAGCCTGGAGCCTGCTTTGAATTCTGTGTCTCCCTCTCTCTCTGCCCCTCCCCTGCTCATACTCTGTCTCTGTCTCTCTCTCACAAATAAACATTTAAAAAAGATTAAATTTTTTTTTCTTCATTTCCTAAAAGTCTTAGCTGAACGAAGTAGATGTTGGCATGCTATCATATACTTCTGCAAGGCTATCAGTGGATAGAGGTGGTTGTGGTATACTGCATTTCTTAAGGCAAATCTTTAAAATATCCCAACAGCCAATAATAGTCAAAGGTAAGCAGCACAAGGAGAAAGTGCCTTATTTTTATATTCGGTGGAACTGATTTTGGGCACTTCAATTCAACAAATGTTTATTCACTATGTTATGGAACAGGAATTTGTCCAGAGGTTGACATTCCAAAAATGAACAGGCTACTGTGCCTACTTAGAAAGAGCTCACCATGCAGAAACTAGAGGAAATCATCAACAAATAAGTGCAAATAAATGCATACGCTGTGAAAGGTACTTTACCAAAAATCAAGTATCTCTTGTAGTTCGGGTACAAATAAATGAGTCATTAACTCTTTTTTTGTTGTTGTTGTTGTTTTTTTAATGTTTATTTAATTTTGAGAGAGAGAGAGAGGCAGAGAGAGACAGGGAGACATAGAATCGGAATCAGGCTCCAGACTCTGAGCTGTCAGCAAAGAGCCCGAGGCAGGGCTCGAACTCACAAACTGTGAGATCATGACCTAAGCTGAGGTCGGATGCTTAACCGACTGAGCCACCCAGGCGCCCCCATTAACTCTTTTTTTAATGTCTATTTATTTTGAGAGAGAGAGAGAGAGAGAGAGAAGAGAGAGAGCAAGCAGGGGAGAGGCAGAGAGGGAGAGAGAATCCCAAGCAGGAATCCCAGAGCCCAAAGTAGGGCTCGATCCCACAAACTCGCAATATCCTGACCTGAGCCGAAATCAAGAGTTGGGCACTCAACTGACTGAGCCACCCAAGTGCCCCATGAGTCATTAATTTCCCATGGAAAATCAGAAAAGGCTTCTCAGAAGAGGTCTCATTCCAAAATTTAAAACCAATTTTGTTCTTACATAATTATTACCAATAACTTCAAACTGCGTGTAAATGACTGAAGCGAGTAAGTTAACAGCATACTGTATGATTCAAATGCTAATATATAAAAACTTTATAATATTTACCTTCACAATTAGTTGATAATGTTGTCTGCCTAAGTAACCTCTCCAACATTTTTGAATAACAGTTGCTACTCTGTGTAAATACCTGTGAAAAACATACACTTATTAGCATGTTTTCCTGGAACCAGATTCACTCTTAAATTTTTTCTTAGACTATACCTTTCTATAATTCAAGAAATAAAATTCAAAGCCAAGTTTATGGTGTACTTTAAAAAGTAGAACTATCATTCTGCAGTAGAATTCTTCATTTCTTGAGGTAGAAAAAAAGGCAGAGATAAATATTCAGGATTCCTTTTGGGCTTATGATTAGACATTTTTAAATTTCAATTATTCTTCAGTACTAATTCTTGGAAATATTTCTGAATGTAAGACTATAAAACTGGTCAAAGGAACATGTTGAGAAATAAGTCGGGCACTATCGATGTGAGTCACTGTAAGTACTTAGAAATAGTTCTCGAGGTCGAGAAACACTTCCTCTTTCACCTTATATTACCCAGTCTATCCAAGCTAGTGTCTTATTAATCTTCTCAATTAAAGAAAATAGTCTCTTTGCCGCCATGTTCCCAGTTTGTATAGTGCCCAAAAGAGAAACCTCACGTTTGTACCTAAATCTTCCAGTCTGGCTCCTACTAGCTAATAGAAGGAACTATACATCATAATCCCCAGCTCGCCATCTGAGTGGGTTATTACATACAAGGCATGTTCTTCCTCCACCTTATCCCAGGCAGTAGTTTTTGGAATTGTAAGAGACTGAAGGAAAGTTTGAGCACTGAAGATAAGCAGGGATCAATTTCTGTCTCTTTAAAAGCAGCATGGCAGCATTCCGGCATCATTTGCCTTTACATATCAACATGTTGGAGAAGACTGGAATAGCTTCCTTTTTGTTTTGTTTTGTTTTTGCTTTCTTAGCAGTGAATTCATTCCTATAAATACAAGTCCAGTCATTTGTCACATCCTATGGAATTTGAAGAAAAAATCTAATCTAGTATATTTAGGATATTGAGAATTTTTTAAAGTAGAGATATGGTCAATATAATTTAGTTCTTTGATGTGTAAGAAAAAACCAAAAGGGCATCATATAATTTATTAACTTCATTACAAGTAAAATGAAAGCTTATTTGCAATGAGCACTTACGTGAATAAATTAGATTTTCTGAGGAGTATATTTTTATGATATATCTGACGTTTCTATGACAAAAATCACATACCTGAGATATGCCCGAATTCGACATCCTCGAAACCAGCTCTGGATTTTAACTGCTGCATCATACTCCTTTTTTCTAAATACATCTACAGCACTAAAAGGAAATTTTTAAAGCATTTCATTAGTGACTAATATAATTCCAAAGCAAATCAACCTGTTAAGCTTAATCTTTAATTTCTTCCAAAATGATAATTATAATTCAAATGTCATTTTAAATAAAATTAAAATACTAAATAAAGCATTTCAGAAATAATGAGCTATATTTTTAGAGTTAACCTTTGTCTGAGAGGTCATGTGCTATCAACAAGTTTACTTTTTTAAAAAAATTTTATAATCACTACTTTGCAACTTATTAATTTACCAGTGATCTTTATAAGGAAATAAAAATGGCAACGTGCATGTTTTCATTATTTTAAAAACATAATTACTTGAATTTACTATTTGAATGCCACTACACATATCAGGCAAGATTAAAATGCTTGCATATTGCACTCAATGCATCAGTTAAATGAATTGCCTCTAAGTAAAATGAATCCATCACAGAATGCCTAGTCTAGATAGAATTCTCAGAAACCCCATGTAAGTTCAAGCAGGGGGGCAGGGCCATAGGGTTTAGAAAGAGACAAGAAATTCAGTTGTTAGACTGCACTGACTTACAGCAAAAAAAGGTTTCGTCAAGACAGATTTCCATCTTAATCTTGCAAGTCATTCCAGTTCTCCCTGCCCACCCCTACTGCATAAAGTGATATTGCTGAAGGCAAGTACTGTGCACCACAGAGGAATTTCTTTCCCAGAATGCTGGCTGGCACGTAATTAGCACTTTATGTTTGCTGAATGAATAAAGAATGGCTAATTGTTTATTTCTGACTTTTTTTTAATTCTCTCAAAATAATGTTTCTTTGGACAGGTTTTTTTTTGTTTTTTTTTTTTTTTTTGGGTCATGATATGCTAGCTTAAATATATAGTTTTCATTAAATTTGTGTATTTCATAAACAAAAATAGAAGGGGGGAAGAAACCTCAAACAATAAAATTCTTAGACAATACTATGATGTTAGCTAACAGAAAGAAAATCAGACAAGGATGTAACTTGGTATCCGATCGTAGGCCAAGAGTTAGGGCCAGATGGATTATAGTTCTAGAGAAACAGGAGAGTTACCTAAAAAGCAGACTGTATAGGACTCACAAAAAAAAAAAAAAAAAAAAAAAAAAAAAAGAAAAGAAAAGAAAACAAAGATTATGCAACAGTCAGTGACCCAGATATGAAAAAGGGTAGTGGAGAAAATTCACACAAATGAGTAAGGTGAAGAGGACACACTAGACAATTAGGAGAAGAAAAGAAAGTTTGATTATGGTTTTATGTTTACACCACATGTACAACATTATAGCAGAGACACATATAAACTATATTCTTGGATTGTGCTCCACATGGCAAATAGAATGGCTGGACGTCCTTTCCTCCACGGAGCCTTCCCTGACTCCTCAAACCACATTAAGCCTTTTTATTAAACATCTTCATAGCTCTTTATAATATTTAACACAACCATATATTGTGTTGCTTAATGATGGTCTTTCCACTAAACTTTAAAATCCCAAAGTCAGCAATCGAATCCATTTTGTCCCACATGCATTCCTGGTGGTTCCTGAGTTAATTGATGTTTCTCCTAACAGTCAACCTTTGTCTTACCAAAGCTGCTTTCTCTCAGGGAATGGCATACCTATTACAGACATATTCAATCCCTGTGAAGACTGCCATTCACAAGCTTCCCTCACTACACTTACTCACGACACTGAAATAGTATCCCCATTTGACAGAAGAAGATACTAAGGCAGACAGAGGTATAAGGATATGTCCAAGGTCTTAATATCAGAGCTTATCTTATCTTATCTTATCATCAGAGCTGAAATCTGATCCTAGGTAGTCTGGCTCCAGAGGCTGGGTTCTTAACCATCATTGTGCCTGAAGGAGAAGAGAGGGAGGAAGGATAAAAACAGGAGATAGAAAGTAAATAAAAAGGAAAAAAGAGAAGGGAAAAAAAGGTAAAAGGAAGAATGCAGGTAAGCCATTTTCAAATATAATATTAAAATTCTGTGGCATAAAAGAGCACCAATCTCCTTAAAACAAAATAAGCTGAGACTAAGAGGGAAAAGACATCAAGATCTAGGGCTAAACACCAAAAATGTCTGATATACCAACTGTTGGTAAGAATTAGTGGAAGAGGAACTCATTAAATTGCTGGTAGGAAGTAATTCAGCCTTTGAACACAAACAGAAAATTTTTGTTTATATAAATGAGAAACTCGGGAAACTTAAGGATGTTAAATAAGGAAGGGAAAAATAAGGCGCAATTATGAGACAAGTACTTTGCATTGTCGTAGAAGTTAATGGAAGGGTATCAGGAAGAAGGACCATGACTGAGTAGTGTCAAATACTGTGAAGAAGTCATGAAAATAAGGTCAATGTTTCAAGGAGTTGCAGGGTCGGAGAGAATCTTTTGTTTTCTCAAACCTTATCCTAGCCAGTAAGAGGATGTGATAGTGCAGGATATGAAATCTCATTCATGGCAACAACAGAGATGATCCAGCAACACAGTGTCCAGTAGAGCAGGCAATTCAAAGATGACAGAGTGGGAAAAAGAAAGAATAATTGTACTCGATAAGGCTGATGTGAAGGAGAATTCATGATAATGGTTATTTCTCACGGTTTCTTAACCCTGTTTAACCAATAACATTCAATATGATTATAGATGTTTTCTGTTTTCCTTCTTTTTAATATAGTCTATTTAAATTACTGAAAGCACTTGCTTTTCCTCCCCCGCCAACAATCAACAAGTGACTACTTTTGCAAAACAGGTAGAAAAAAATTGAGTAAGATTTACAGATACACCTAATACTTCCTTTTAACTAATGTATAGTTTGATCCTACCCTTCACTTATATAATTGTCATTACAAATGTAAAAAATAAGCAATCAAATGATCCATTTTGCTTTCTAATCTCGCCTGGTATTAATGATAACATGTAATACATAGTCAAGAAGAAGATTAAATTCTCTCTTTTGGAGTTATAAACACTAACACATATAAATATAAGCACAGATATTATATCATGCTAATAAGAACTATATATCTTAATTAAAGGGAAATATTTTAAAAAATAGTAGTTAATTTACTGCTACATTTTAACTTATATGCTGTAATTCGACTTCTATACACGTTTTTCCGTTGCTTTTCTTTTAACTGCTTAAAAATGAAATTTACAGATACTTGAGTTACCACTGGGATGCTGAATACTCATACAATATGTCATGAACTGCTAGACTTTTTATGTTTAAAATGAAAAATGTGGGTAACACTTTATTTTAATGGTATATTAATTAGTTCCAAATTACAATGAAAATCCTATAGCAGTGAATAAAATATGACATCTACATGAATTTGAAATAAATTTATTATGATCAGTATTATCACAATGAATACTAAATGAATTAATAATGATGAAAGACCAAAAGTATTACCAGGAATGTAATAAAACATTGAGAAAAAGCTGGAAGTTTCCAGTCACTTCATCATCAACTAGAAATAAGTACTATAACCCTGGATAACACTATATTCATGTGTATCATTAGTGGCTAGAAATTAATTGACAATAAACAGAAAGTGAAAAAAATGTGTAGTTAAATATATTTCTGGTAATGTGCAAAAAATACACATTTTATATATCACCTTACTGTGATAGTTTGACCTATGTGTACTAGCTATTGAATAAAAACTAGATTAAAAACCCAATCATCTTTGCTTCTCATTATCATATGAATTTTAGCTATTTTAGATACTAGGAATAAAATTCCAGTATTAGCTGACCTGTATTATAAAATATATTGATTATGTAAAATAATTTTTGCATATCATTTCACTGTTAGGTGTTAAGGATGTCAAGCTCCTTAAAGGCAGAAACTATGTTTGATCTATACTTTATGCTTTAATTATCACTCATGTGCCTAATAAGAGGTCAATAATTACTTGTTGAAAAACAGAACTACATTTTAGAATCTAGAAGCCATGTTTTGATTTCATTAATGGTCCTCATTATTATTTCACAGCTCAATGAATAATGAGTCATAAATACATATGTATTAGATCATAAAGTAGGAGTTAACATGCAGATTTATAATGTATTTGCAAAATGTTTTATTATTTACTTTTCTACCCTTTCCCTCTACCTTCTCTTCATTTCCTGAACAATTAAGTCCAAAAGAAATTGGCAGTGGGCAAAGAAACCAGGAATCTGTGGTAGAGGGGACAGGAGTGTTGGGGGATGGGGAGTCACATTGTCCTGGCTAAGCCTTTGTAGGCTAAGATGGACATCCACATGAAAGGGCAGCCTGGGGTAGGATGTCACAAACTAAGAACAGTGTTCCTATGGAGAGAATGTCTAAGTGTTTAGGTGTCGAGGAAAGGTGAAGAAAGTTTCTACAAGGAAGGGCAGCCAGAACAGAGAATCAAAACCCAAGAATGATGAAAAGAGTATCCAATTTGATGAACAAGTGCAGCATGGAGAGGTAGAGCCCACAGTACATGAAAACGGTGTCCATAAAAGAGAGGGCAGTTAAGGTGACAGGAGTTTGATTACAGAAAATTGATCAACTTAAGCAATATATTAAGGATAATGAGAGCCCAGTTTCTCAGTGTTTAAAAAAAAAAGGAAAGGAAAGGAAAGGAAAGGAAAGGAAAGGAAAGGAAAGGAAAGGAAAGGAAAGGGAGATAAACTAGAGTGAATCACATGGTGCTGGATTTGAAATGAAATTGTCAATGCAAACTTATGGATTTCAACACACACATGGGTAGGTGGACAGACGGATGGATGAATAAAGTACAGACGTAAACTGCATGCAAATGCATACATGCACATATTTTCTAACTCTGTCCACTTAAGAAAATCTGAGAGCAGCAACCCAACAGCAGGGCACTCATTAAAAGAAGCAAGGGCTCCTTGAAGAAATAGATGACTCCAGATCCGGGGCAGGAAAAGAAAAAGATGAGCCTGGAACCCATTTGTTCTGTGTCAGAAAGCAAGAAAGTATTGCGATGATCAGGGT